GCTGGCCTGGCCCAGACGGAAGCAGCATGCCGGCCTGCACTGCCCCCCCACCCCCGATCTTTTGCAGCAGCTCTGCAGAGGTGGTTCTGCCTGGAGCTGGAGGCCATTCCAGAGCAGGACACCGGACTGGCCCCACAGGGCACCCCCTGGCAGAGGCTGGGCAGACTGGGGCTGCGCAAGAGGTCCTGCTGGTGCCCAGGGGCTGGGCAGGAGAGGCGATACCATGGTGGATGTTGTGCGCTGACACCAGAATGTGGCAGCACCCCCCACTCTTCCTTCTGGGCACCCCACCCCCCCGGAGCCTGGTGCGGCCTTCCCTCTGCAGTCCCGCTGCTGTGCGCTCCGTCCTCGGTTCTTCCGGCCTCTGAGGATGGAGGCAAGGCTGTTCAGCAGGGAAAGTGGCGGGCAGGGGGAGGGCCCGTGGCCCAGAGCTGCCTGCGCAGGGCGTCTGTCTTCCCCCGAGCGGCTGGGTGCGGTGCCAGAGATCCCCTCGCGTGCGGCAGGCGAAGGCCTGGCTGGTGGCGAGGCCCGGTTCTCGCACGGAGCGGCCCTGGGGCCCTGGGGTGCGGGCTAGGCCGAAATGCACCGAGCCGCCTGCATCCAGGGGTTTTTCATGAAGTGCTGCATGGAGGAGGATGTGGCCATGGGGCCCTGACTGGTCGGAAAGGCTAGCGCAGAGTGCGGGGCAATGCCCGGCGCTCCGGGACATTCAGCAGCCGCCCAGCCCCGCTTCTCCCGGCTCCCCTGGCCTTGAAGGTCACTGGGCAGGGAGCCGGCCGTCGCTTTTCCACGCGGCGTTGAGGGAGCAGTGGCTGCTGTGTGCGAGAACAGCAGGCCCCCCGTTCTCCGGGCGACTGGGCGCAGGCCTGCCTGGTAGCCAGGCGTACGGGAAGGCAGCGCCCGCCCTTCTCAGCCGACAGCGCTGATGCTGCCGGGGGGTGCCAGGCGTGGGGCCCTGGCACATCCGGGCGACACCAGGCTGGGAAGGACCCCCGGGAGCCCCTGTGGGGTGGGACAAAAGGTTCCGCTGCCAGGGAACATTCCCTCGGAAATGGCCGGGGTCCTTCACGCAACCCGTTCACGAGGGCGGCAGCGGCAGGCGTTCGCTTGTGCTCTGCCTCAGGTGACTGCCCGGCGAGCGCGCACAGTAAGCCTAGCCTGCTCAGCCTGCCGGAGTCGGTGTGTCAACAGCAGATGCCATCCAGGCCCGCCCCGAGGCGTTTGCCCCTTCTCCCCTGGCCTGGGACCCATGTGGGGATGCTGGGTGGGGTGGTGCTGCCGGAGGAGCTCCAGCCGGGCGGAACAGCCCGCCTTCTCCATGCAGACCATCCTCAGATGGAGTCAGATAGACCGGGAGCGCTCCCCCCACACTCCAGCCCAGCTGGTTGCCCCCCCGGCATCTTAGGGTGGCCCAGCCGTGCTGGAGAGTGCCCCTGCAGGACTTGCTCTTCCCTGCGGCCCCCCCCCCCGGGGGCCCCCCCCCCCCAGGCATTTCCTGGCAGCGGCAGCAGGAGTGCCCACCTGCCCTCCTGGCGAAGCGGCTGCATGAGTGGAGAAGAGGGGCTGTGCTCTGCTGCCCACCCCGCCCGTGCCCCCCTCCCGTGGCTGCCCGAAGGCAGAGTGCCCCAGAGAGAGGGGCAGGCGCTTGGCCACCCCAGCCCCTAGCGGGCGAGGCACACCGGTGGGGCTGCAGGCCAGGCCCTGCACATAGAGGCTCAGCAGGCAGCAGGCCATCAGGTGCTGCACCCCAGGTGGCTCTGACTCTGTGCAGGGCACAGCATCACCCGTTGGCCCTCTGGCTGCGATGGAGCTTGTCAGGGGGCAGGAGCCCTCCCGGAAATGTCCCACCCCACAGAGAAGCCACTGGGGTGGGAGCGCCCCGTCTTCTTCTGCAGTCTGCCTGCAGGATGGATCCTGGGCGAGGAGGAGCCGGGTGGGCAGCGGAGCCGGTGCGTGTGGCCCTGGCCTCTGTCCTGAGCAGAGAGGGCGCGGTGCTGCTCCCGGACTCTGCCAGCGCTCCTTCCCGGCCCTCTTCCCCTGGGAAGCGCTAGGCGTGCTGGGGCAGTGCCTGCTCTGCCCTCGCAGAGGCGGTGGCTGGGGGGCCTGCCTGGCCTTTGCCAGTGGGGGGCGTGTGGTGCGTGGGGGTTGCTGTGCCTCCACGGCAGCTGCTGCTCCCCATGTTGGGGGCAGGCGGGGAGGCAACAGGGCCGGCCTGGGGGCCGTGTTTGTGTGTCGCGAAAGCAGGAGGGGAGGCAGCTGGGGGCAGCAGAGGTGCAGCAGCCTTTCCCAACCCGGTGCCCTCCGGATGCCTTGAGCTGCCTGGGAGTGGAGGGAGTCGCATCCAGGGCAGCACCGGGCTGGGGTGGCTCCTTGTCTGCAACACGTTTTGGGGTACCTACCCAGCATGGGAGGCTGGCAGGGCAGGCCTTTAGTGACAATCTGGGTGACGGGCACTGGAGTCTGGGTGGGGCCGATGAGGGCTGTCGTCCGGCCTGTGTCTACTCAGGGGTAAGCCCTGCCATTCACGTGCAGGACTGCAGCCTTTGTGGATAGCGGTTCACAGTGCCGTGCTAGGCTGACAGAGAGGCGAGTCCGCGGGTCCCGGATCAAAGCGAGCCAGAGCTTTTCCACACAGCAGAAATGGCAGGTGGAGGCTGCTGTGCTCGGGGAGAAAGGCCAAACACCCTCCTTGTGGAGCGGCTGGGCAGGGCCGGCCGGGAGGACGCTTCGGGGGCTTTCCTTCGTAGGGTCGCCATCGGGTGCAGAGGCTTGATGGCGCAGAACGGCCGTGGCCTGTGGGCCCCCCGCCCCACCGTTTGTGGAAGCCCCACCGGCCCCAGTTCAATTTTCCGTGCGACTTGGTGATGCTTCCTCTTTTGAATGTAAGGATTTACCTGTTGAATTTATCTTTGCTCGTCTGTTTTGTTTTACGGGTTTTTATGCTGTGTGTCATCACAAATCTGACTCCATGGCCAGGCTGCAGCGGCCTGGGCTGGACTGCTGCTGGGCACTCTGCATGGGGCTGCCCATGCGGTTGGTGCAACAGCTGGGACTCCGGCCGGCCGCAGCACCGATGCTCCCCCCCCGCCCCGCGTGCAGCACCTTTCCTCAGCACCTGTGCAGCTGCCTTCCTGCTGCTGAGCCAGACCTAAGGTTCTGATACTGGTGTAGAAGGCCCTAAAAGTCGTGGGACCTGGGTGCCGGAGAAGGCGCCTTCCCCCTTACCGTACCAGCCTCCTGGGTCGTCAGGCTGCCGGGTGGCTCGCTCAGGGTAGGGCCACGTAGACCTCAGCTGGGCTGAGGTCCCCTCCAAGAAGAGCCTGCAGGGCGGAGGTGCTGTTCCGTGGGACTTTCCGCCTCTGGAGGTCAGAGGACACTGGTGTGTGGGGAGCCCTGCGGCAACTCGGAGCCACTCCAGGATTCTCAATGCTGAGCAGGCGATGAAGGGGAAGGAGGTGGGCTGGCAGCAGGAGGGAAGGGCATGCGGCAGGCGGGCTGGGCTGGGAGTGGAACGGCTTCCCCTGCCAGCCGTGGCTTGGGCCGGAACACTGGCTGTCCTGCCAAGGGCCTGGTTCAGCCTGTCCTGCTGGAGAGGGATCTCCAAGTCAAGATGGACCTAAAGTTGAAGGAAGGGGAGGTTTCCCTTCATCCCTGTTGCATGACACTGGAACTGTGTGTCTTCCAAAAACAGAAAGCTGTGGCCTGACACAAGGAAGGGGAACGTCGGGGGGGGGGGGTCTGTGGCACTCACATCCTGCGCATGGACTCCCCCTTTGCGCAGCTGGTCGGCCCCCTGAAGCAGAGTCTGGGCTGGAGGGGCCATGGGCTGTCTTACATTAATGGATGAGATAATTGGCGCAAGTGGTGCTGGCCAGCTTGGATGGCTTTGGAAGGGAACCAGGCAGACGCGAGGAGGTCTCCTGGACAGCTAGTAGCCCTGGCATGGGCACGGAAGCCCCGTGTCTGGCGCAGAGCTCCTTGGGTCCCAGCTGCTGAGACACATCGCTGAAGGCTTCTCCGCCAGGAGCAGCTGCTGGGCGAGAGCGGCCTTTTACGCAGCCCGGCAAGGGCCGCCCCATGTGCCCTCACAGGCAGCTTTGCAGCAGGGGCTGTGCAGGGAAGGCGTGGGAGGGGCTGAGGAAGAGCAGGGACTGGCTGGTGGGTCTGATGAGGCTGGGAGGTTTATCCAGTTGGGGCTTCACCAGTCTTCCCCAACATGGTGCCCGCTAGACGGGTTGGACTGCAGTTCCCATCTTCCCCAGCAGTGTGGCCATGCTGACTGGTGTTGATGCGCGCACGGCCTGGTGCAATCTGTTAGCGGTTTGTGACATTGCGGAGGTTGCTCATGTGGCCTGTCCTGATGGCCCTGATGGGATTTGGGAGGCGGGGAGGGCAAGGGCAGCCCCTGGGGTGGGGGGCATGGCGAGTTGCTGCGTGGAAGGCGCAGCTGAGCAGAGGGAGCTGTTGTGGGTGGACGCTTTGTGGGTGCTACTGAGAACGGGACAGGCAAAGATTGCGCTTTGGGGCCCAGTGGAAAGCCCGCCTCAAAGTGAGCCACGGGGGTCCAGGAGCACAGCAGAGAGATTGCAGCCCGCACTGCTCCATCCAGCAGGCCCCGAGGACTGCTGTTCGGTGCCCCGGTGGTGTGCCCAAGAGTGCCGTGAGCCTGGACAAGGGTGCCGCTGCCCTGCGCCTTCTGCGCCATGTGCATGGAGGCGTCCCAGGGATACGTCGGGCTTCCCCTGAACCCTTAGAATACCTCAGAGCTGAACAGGGCCGGGAGCAGAGCCTGCCAGGCGTTCTCCTGCCCGGGCCTCCGTCCAGCGCGTGGGAGCTCGGCGTGGGCTTTGCCTCAGCAGCACTCCCCCCCCGAGGGCCCCCTCTGGCTGCTGCCTCGGGTGTGCCGGAAGCACGTGCTCTTCTGATGGGTGTCTTGTGGCGGGTGACCTCTGCAGAGGGGAGCATGCAGTGGTGACTTCTCCCAACTCTTCCTCTTCCAGATTGACCCAAAGGTTGCGTTTCCTCGCAGAGCACAGCCCAAGGTAAGTACCGCTTGCGTTCTCTTGCGAGTGGTCGGATCTCACTGGGGACCGGAGGGTCTGTCCTGCATCCAGGGGCTGCGCGGTTTTGTTGGCTGCTGGGTGTGTGTTGAGCGAGGGAACCCTCTCTCCTGTGGTCTTTCCCTGGTCATGCTGACTGGGAATGATGGGGATTGTAGTCCAAATCATCTGGAGCGTGCCAGGTTGGGGAAGACCAGTCTGTGTGATCTTCACTCCACTTTCCAAAGTTTGCTGTGAACCCAGCCTTCTGATTGGTGCCATGTTTCCTTGCTAAATTTTGTGGGCATGAAAGTGTCAACTTAAGGGCTCACAAAATCTAAACTGGCTTTTACACTGGTGCTTTCCAGGTACCCTGGACTAAAATTACCGTCATCCTGGTCACTGGTGAGAATCAGTTCTGTATGTGTGTGGAACAGAAGCTTAGAGGCAGTTGTATGAACTGTCGTCTGTGCCCAGAGACTTCAGGCTTGTGACGTTTCTTTCCTTTTGGGGTTTTGCTGGAGAATTCCCAGGAGGTACAGTGGTTGGGTTGCGCACCCTCGGAGTCACAGATGAAGTTGTGATAAAGTTGAATGAAGGTAGCTAAAGCTGAATTGGCAAGGCCTGAGTTACTGCAGAAGATGGACCTTCGTGGTCTGATTGAGGAGAGCAGCTTTGCTCTGGGAGGGGAAAGCCTCGCGGGTCTGAGGAGCCGCACGTTGCAGCCCATACTCCTCAGAATTTCGGGAAGCGCAGCATCGAGGATGAGGGTGCCGAGCAGCTGGGGACCAGCGTGAGGGTCAGGCCAAGGCTGCCCACGTGCGCAGGCATCCCGGCTCACGGCTGCGGCCACCCCTCCGCCTGCTGGGGTCAGAGGATGGCGGTCTGGGAAGGGGGCAATTTAAAGCCTCTTCCTTACCACCCCGCTATCCTGACTGCCATCACTAGCCTTGAGAAACATTGTCTGTGCCCAGGAACACTGAAGTCAAACCTCTCCACCCACCGCACATTCCTGCTTGCCCACTGCAGGAGGACACTGAGCTCTGGTTCAGAACTCCTGGAAAGGAGGGGAGGCCAAAGCTTCCTCCGGGATAAACCTTTCAGACTCTGTTCCTCTGGCAAAGTGGGCCACGCCACAGCAAGCCTGTGAGCACTGGAGGGCCACCTCTGGCGTGCCCGGCAACCGTCCATACCGGGGCTGCTGCCCAAAGACGCACGGGACAGCCCTGAGCAGCTGCACCAGGCACGGTTCCCAGCCTGCCTCTCCCGCACCTGTCGCAGCCCAGTGGCAGCGGTGGCACCGGGCACCGCAAAGGGGGCGCCGCGAGTGGCCCTGCCAAGGCCTTCCTTGCCAGGGGCCGCTTGGGCAGCTTGTGGGCCCCCTTCCTGGCCGGGGCCCCAGGAATGCTGGGCAGGGAGCCAAGCGAGGGCATCCAACAGATTCCCACCTCCAGGCGGATTCCACATAGATCCCGTCAGCAGTCCTGATCCGCCCAGTGCAGGGAGAACGGTTACTTGCTCCTGCCACAGCTGAGAGCTGCTCTGAGAGGTGGGTGGAGTGGCAGTGTCCAACGTGCAGGCCACCCCGCCGAGAGCGCTTGCTCCCCGTGAACTGTGGGAGCCCCGTTGGTGCAGCGTGGAGACATCTGCAGCATTGCGCTGGCACCGAGTAAAGGAAAGGAGTGAGGACGGCACCCTGTTGCCGTTTGCCTTGCGACTGTTTCCTGCCCCTCCGGACTTGAAGGAAGGCTGGGGAGCCAGTTCTTAGGATCCCATGGAGGCCTGGGCCTCATTTTCAGGGGCCGAAGGTGGAAGACGGGGAGGGAAGAGTAAGGACACATAGGCCTGGTTCAGACATCACAAGGGCCCACGTGTTGTTAAAAAGTGCTTGTGTTAAAAACAATTTGCGTATGAGCAGAAGGCAGCGTTTGTGCTGGTGCCTGCCCAACCCGGACTCAAGCCTGGAGGTGTGACTTACTGTGGGGCAGGTGGGGCAGAGGCAGCTCCGGATTAGCTTTTCCCCGCAACCCAGACTGCGCCACACTCAGAGTGCTGGGGATGGGGCGCCCAGGTGCCGAGCGATCGGGCTGTGAGAGGCAGCCCCGCACTGGCTTCAGCTTCACACATGAAACCCAGGATGTGAAAAGCCCTGCGGTGTTGTGATGCGTGAGCTGGGGCATATAGTTAAAAAACAAAAGGTGGGCCTTCCGTTGCAGCAGAGGGCTTCCAGTCAGCTTCCTGTCCAGAGAGCATGGAGGTGAGCGAGTGGCTGTAGGCACGTGGGCCCAGGTCTTCCGACACTTTCGTGGGAGAGTGCGCTGATGTCGAAATAGCCGCCCGCCGAGGTCTCTGCCGCTTTGCAAAACAGAAAAGGATGGGAAGCTGGGAGGGGGCTCTGTTTTCCATCCTTGCTAGACAAGGGGCACCTGCCAGAATCCCCCATTTCTCAAGTGTTCCTAAAGCCCCACAAGGGCCCTAAAGGTGATGGGCTTGCTGTGCGAATGAGGGAGGGGGCAAGGACAGGGCGATGTGGGCAACTTGGCGGCAAAGGGGATTCTGGACAGGGATGCTCCGGCATCCCGGGGAGCCAGTGCTGAGAGCACATGGCCGGATTTGGGTTAATTCCATTAAGCAGGATGGTGGCAGAAGGTGCTTTGGGGCGGGGCAGGTTGAGAATGCTGGGGATTAGCCCTGTACTCCTGGGGTGATTAGGGCAGCTCCTTGCGGAGCGGGGCCGGGCAATGGGCAGCTGGTACACAGAATCCCTGGGCACCTTTCGCCGTGTTAGCGTCGACCCCACAGCTCTGGAGGCAGGGAAGCCACAGGCCACTGCCTTTGTCTCTCCCCAGAGCTGCTTCTCATTGGGGTGTGCTTTGAAGGCGCCTTCTGCCAGCCACTGGGAACAGCCCATCTCCTGCGCATGCCAGCTGGTGCACACGAGCACTCTGCCCATGGTGCGTGTGAGAGAGCACAAGCCGTGCCCCTCGCCTCGCCTTGCCTCCGAGGAAATAAGGGCCAAGGCGTCCTCGGCGAGGAGGAAGGCCGGGGGGGCGGTGGTGTGGTCTGAAGCTGGGGAGGCTGCTCCGCAGGTGGGCGTCCACGGCCTGCGGCTGGGGTGACGGAAACAGATTCTCTGGCGCTTGGGGTCGGGAAGGGCCCCGGGCTCAAGCTCCAGGGTCACCATGGTTCAGATGCCTGCTCAGGTTTCCCTTGGAGAGCTGATGGGGATGATGGGTGCTGCATTCCAACACATTGGAAGTGTGTCAGGTTGGGGGCAGCTGCTCTAGACAACCCCGAGCTCCATGGACTGATGTTGTGACCCAGCATAAAGCGGATTTTGGTGCTACTGACCCCTTCAGGGGCAAAATTGCCATTGTCCTCCTGCTCCTCTGTCTTTTTGCGTGCTCCTTCGTGTTCAAAGGGCTCCGCTAAGCGCACTTTTGGAATATCTTTGGCCAGCGTGGAACCATGGTCCTGCGTGGCCCACGCCTTCCCCTGGGAAGGATGGCCGGGTCCTGCAGTCTGCACGCAGGCCTGGGGAGCGAGCGGCTTCTGGCCCCAGGAATGGGGGTGGGGCCTCGAGGACTATGGGCCCCTTCTCATTGGTCTGCTGGGTGTGGGATTAGCCTGGCAGAAGGGTGGCTCAGATGGCCGCGGGGGGGGGGGGCGGGGGGGCGGGGTTCCTGCCAGGGCTTTCTTGGAGGTGGAGTGAGCAAGCAGACACCTTTGTGCGCGGCATGTGAGATGAGAGGCCCCCTGCGAGAAGCAGAATTCCGCAAGCGGCATATATTTCATGCAGATCAAGCCTGCTTCATCCTTCTCTTTCATGGTTTTTCACAATTCATTCTGCATCGTTTACTCCTGGGGAGGGATGAGGAGAGTGCAGGAGAGTGGAGCCCTCTCTTTGCTGTGCCCTCTCCTTGCTTCACAAAGCAAATGCTTCCTAACTTGAGGTCTAGAAACTTTCTTTTTAAAAGAGCCAGTGTGGGGGGAACGAGTCTGAGGTCCTCAGAAGGAATTATGCATGTGTGTGGGATTGTGGTGCACATGTGTGCATACAAGCACAGAGCAGGCATGTGGTGCGTGGACACGTGGTTCCTTTGACCAGGATGGAGATGAGTCCGTGGGGACAAGCCCTGCCCTGCTGCCTCCTTGTCCTTCTGTCTTCCAGATGGTGACCCGAACTAAGAAGATCTTTGTGGGAGGCCTCTCTGTGAACACCACTGTGGAGGACGTGAAGCAGTACTTTGAGCAGTTTGGGAAGGTAAGCAGACCCTAAGCTGCGGGATTCCTCCTGTGGGCCTTTCTAAACGCTCTTGCAACCCTCCCCTCCCCCAAAGAACTGTGGGAAATGTAGTTCTTGGGAAGGGGGCCAGCAGAACGTTCAGTACTCACATCAAATGGGAACTCCCAGATTTCTTTGTGCGGAAGGCCAAGAACCGGTATAAAAACCAATATGGTAACAAACAAAGGTTCTCCCAGTATAAGCTGGCATAAATCATCCAGAGTTTAATGGAGAAAGAATGGTTTCTGCCAGGTGACCCCCCAGAAAGCACCCAGCCAGCTCTTCTGCCTGTAACAGCAGCTCAGCATGCAAAGACGAGCAAACAAAAGCGCTTTGCACACAGCACCTGCTGGTTCTGTGGGTGACCAGCTGCTGTTTAAGGTGAAGCTCCAGTGACTGCTTGGACAGCCCCCCCCCCCCGCACCCCAGAAGAGCTTTTGGTTTTTGTTTTCTCTTGGAAGTAAGCATCCCTTTGGTTTCTTGCCAGCGCACGGGGCCAAAAGTAACCGAGTGCACGCTTCCCCTGCACTGTGCCGTCCTCTCCTGAGGAGGCCTTGAGGCCTTGCAGTGTGCCTGATTCATAGCTACAGCTTGGAAGGGAATTTCTGCATTTAAGCATCCGTGACAGCCTTAAGCCTGCTTCCTCCAGCTTGGTGCCTGCCAGGTGTGTGGGGCAACTCGGCGGCACTGACCCAGGGCCAGCAGTTCTGCGTTGCCGGCCCGGTCCCTTTCCGGCTTTTGTCCTGGACTCTTCCTCCATCCCCCCACAGGGCCAAGACCTGGTTAGGGTGTTTTGTGGGCTGAGAAGGGACTCCAAATGGCCACCCTTAATGGTTTTCAGAAACGACTTCTCTCCATGGAGGACCCTTTCCCCCACCCTCTTTTTCGGGTATGAGGGTTGTCTCTTCACCTGGATTTCTCTCTCATCTGATTGCTCCTCTTCAAGGAGCTCTTGATTTCTTGTCCAGTTCTCAGTCTTCAACAAACAAGCCCCACGATTTGCATGCTGGATGCAGAATTTGAAGCGGAATGTTGATGCTGTGAGCCCTTAGCACTTTTTACATTATTTATTCATTCCTTTCTTTATGAACAAATGTGCTACCTTGTAGCTTACAAATATTTTGAGGGTGGCCTGCCATATAAAAGAATAAAAGCAATGCAATCAGAAAATTAACAGAAAGTGTGCAAGAACAAATCACAGCATTAAAATAACCCAATAAGACCTGCAAAATTAAGATGGCATCATATGGTGCCAAAAAGAAAACAAAGTTCTCACATCCCAAGTCGGGAAGTGTTCTAGATTGCCAATCCGTTGAATAGAGCTTGGAACCAGATCCTCAGTTAGCGAAGTTTTTAAGTATGATCTGCTCCAATTACCCGTCTCAGGTAATAGTGTGGAGGCTGAATTTTGGGCTGACTGCAGTTTCTCAGTGGTCATCAAGGGCAGCCCCCACATGCTGTGTGCTTCTGCCTGGAGTATCTGTTCATCTGTGTGTGTGGGGGGCGGGGGGGTCTGTAACCAGCTTATTTCGGGGTGAAGCATGGGAGAGCTCTACACGGACTTTGCCAGGTTAATCCTGGCAGGCATCTGGGTGCCCCCGGCCGGCCAATACTTTTTGGCTAGAACAATATTGCTGGCGCTTGAAAGCGCTGCACAGCACCTGCTGACTGACTACAAGAGGCAACGGAGCAACTCAACAGGAAAGATCTGAGGGTTCTAGCGGGAAAATGAGAATAATTGGCAAGAGAGTTACAGGTGGATGAATGCTTCCCCCCGCCAAGAAACATTACCTCCTCCCACTCACTTAGCTTTGGGAGAGCTTGTAATCCTAAGCAGGCCTTCATGGCGGGTGGGTGGGGGGAATCCATTTCAAATAAATCAGCTGTGCCTCACTTCTAAGTAAGTATTTCAAAGATCCTTAAATTTTATGTGAAATACAGAGGCGTTTTTGTCTGCTGATGAGTGTTGTACTGGCGATTAGACATCCTTGCCTGTTGGCTGCTGTTTGCCAGTGTGTTTTCCAGTGCTGTGCACACACGCGTCTGGTGAGCAACCGTCTGAACAACTCCCGGGCCCCTTGCACAAATGGCACAGGCGAGCTTTAAAATCAGCGGGAAAACGGGCTGAGCGCCTGCTGCGAGCATCTCTTATGTTGAAGCGTCAGGTCAAGAGATGCGCGTTTCCTTAGCAGAATTCTTACCTGCCTTTGAGGAGCAGAGGACTGGTAGCCTGTGCCCAAGGGAGCAGTCCTCCTTTTCAGAGATCAAGAGCCACTGTTCCGGCGTGCAGCCCCAATTGGTGGGCACAGGTCCACCAGGAAGGGTTCGTGCCCGAGGGCCTTGGGCAGAAACACAAGTTCCCCTGGGAGCTGCTGCGCTTTGCCCAGCCTGCAGCTGCCTGTGCAGGTCGCTCGCAGCACCTGTTGATGCCCTTTTGTCACGTCGAATGACTTGTGAACACTTCCCGAGAGGACCGCTCCAACGTCGAACGCCACTTGAAACCTGCAGCTGCTGCAGGCCTTCCGCTCACCCACCACAGTTGCTCTCACTCCGCGCATGACCTGGCATGGTGCGTTCCTAAGTTCTCTCCTGTGACATTGCCTCCACAGAGCCCCTCGCTATGTGGCCACGGATGTCCTTTGATCAGTAGTGGCAGTGAAGGGGGCACCTTCGTGTCCCAGCATTCCATAGATCAAAGGTACAAATACAATGTGTGGTTTCCCTCCTTCCTCCTGTCTTCTGACTCGAGAATCACAAAACCGGCCTCATCCCTCTCTTCTCTGTTCACGTAGTGTGCCCAAAGACTTTTGTAGATAGACTATCATTTTCTGTATAGTTAGACTTAGATTTAGGAAACAAAATACATCTCAGCTGTTTAGTGATTTTCCCCCCTTTTCCCTCCACTGTTGTGTTAATTTTTGTTTGTAGTTTCAAAGATCACAGTGTAGACGACTGCTGTAGCGATGTGTTTAGCAGCAGTTCATTTGCATTCTCCCATATCATAATGCCGATTGAATGAATGTTGACTGTACAAATAGGTTCTACTGAAACATAGGGGTGCTCTGTCTGTATTTTGCCTCAGAAATCAGATTTCAGAACCTGAAATTCCCCAGTGCTGCATAAGAACATTTCGCCATTGAATTGTTTCTCAGCCAGAATAAGGTGCAGATGTGTTGCGAAAGAAATGGGCGCAGGGTCGGATCAAGAACGTTTCTTGCTTAGCATTCTCCCCAAGCCCACATGGCATCAAGACGGCCCTGCCACCCAGGCTCAGCAGGCCGGAGGACTCGGACTGCTGCAGGTTAGCCTGACTTATCCACAGCTCCTCCATGAACACTTTCAGGAGCTAATGGGGGCTTGCGGGTTGGCGCAATCCATGACTGGGGATGAGCGAGCACATGGCCGTCTCCTGTCTAGGGCCCCCCCCCAGCGCCTGACCATTCCTCACACAGAGGAAGCTGGCTTAACACACACATCTGATCTGGCTTCCTTCTCTCGCAAAAAGGACCAGAACTGGTCCCGAGCCCAGCTCTGGCTCCTGATGCTGAGCAGGCCTAGCCTCAGGAGCTGCCTGAGGAGGAGATGGCCTGGGATTCCAGACTAAGCTGTCCAGAGCAGCAGCGGGCGGATTTATAACACTGCTTTGGACTGGGCAGAGCTCCGGTCAGACTAATGTATGTGCGGAGCCCTGACTTGCCAGCACCCACCCCTCCCTCTGCCCTTCCTTGAGTGAGCGAGCCCGGCCATGGGAGGCCATGAAGCTGAAGCACACCGAGAGACACTGCGTAGGTTCTTTAAGTGGTACAGAACTGGACAGGTTGGAGAATCAGGGAAGCGGCTGGGGTGGGGGTGAAATGCCCCTGCAAGAGAGAAGCCCCACCCCCACCCAGCTGCTTGGAACAGCAGGGCCAAGTCTGTTGCTTCTTGTGCTGTTCTCGGGGGCTTTGGGACCGGGAGGTGACTGCGTGCAGGGACCGGGTTGGGGACGCCACCTGGGCCAGGTGGACACGAGTCCCGGGACCCGCCGCTTCTCTGACAGGTGCCGACAGAGCGGGGCCCACTTGCCATGCAGACGCCGCTGTCAGCTGGGCTAGAGGGGGGCCGCACTGCAGTGGCGCGGCAGATGGGGCGGGGGGGGCATGTGCAGGGCCCACAGTGCTCTGCTTAGGCTGAATGGGGCAGCCGCTTCAGGTGGCAGACCTGCGGTGGGGGGAGCAGTGATGCGGCATGGTGCAGCTGGCGGTGTGGCCTGAGCCACCCCCCTGCAGGAGCCCCCTGGCCTCGGACGTGTGGACACCAGGGTCACGGGTGGGTCCAGGTGCCAGCCAGCTCCTGTTGGTGAGATGTGGGTGGCTGTCTGGTCCTTTGCCTCAGGCAGCAAAGTTTCTCTGCCCAGTCCTGCGGGCCGTTTCGCCCCCAAGCAAGCTAAGCAGACGTTTCTCTTTGGCCTCTTGGGATCTGCTCACCTAGACAACCGGCTCACGGGAGAAGAGTTGCTAGGCTCTGCCTGCAGTTAGATTTATCAGTGGTTCTTGAATTCCAGTCTTTTCTTACCATGAGCAAAAGGCCCCTCAGTTCCCTCCTGGGGTTTTGAGGAGCTTTGCTAAAGAAAGAGAAAGGTATGTGCATGCACACATGTTTTGCACATGCAGGCACACGCGTTGTGGGAGTGGGCTGTTCTGGTCTTTTTTTCTGGGCAGAAGAAGAGTTCTCCCTTCCTCACCTTCTGTTGGGTGGATTTTCAAGAACTCTATGTCCAGAGAAGAAGCAGAGCCCTGCTTCCTGACCGGTCGCACTTTGCTCCTGGTGCCGGAGCCAACTGCCACTGAAGCCTCGGCCTCATTAGCGTCTTCTTCCAGATGGCTCAGCTTCAGACTGTGACTGCAGCAAAAGTTGGGGCACGATCCGGTGCGCTCATTTTCTGTGTCAGGCGTGATTCTGTCTGACATGGCTCTGCTGAGCAAAAGGTTTGCTTGCTT